ATGTGTAACTAGTCCTGTGTAATGGTTATCTGGTCCTGAATAATATGTTACTTGTCCCGTTAAATATGTAACTAGTCCCATGTAGTGTGTAACTAGTCCCGTGTAATGTGTAACTAGTCTCGTGTAGTGTGTAACTAGTCCCCAGTAATGTGTAACTAGTCCTGTATAATGTGTATCTAGTCCCGTGTAATATGTAACTTGCCCTGTGTAATGTGTAACTAGTCCTGTATAATGTGTAACTAGTCCTGTGTAATATGTAACCCAGCCCCGTGTAATATATAACTAGTCCTGTGTAATATGTAACTAGTCCCGTGTAGTGTGTAACTTGTCCCATGTAATGTGTAACTAGTCCCGTGTAATGTGTAACTAGTCCCGTGTAATATGTAACTAGTCCCGTGTAATATGTAACTAGTCCTGTGTAATGTGCAACTATTCCCGTGTAGTGTGCAAGTAGTCCCGTGTAGTGTGTAACTAGTCCTGTGTAATGGTTATCTTGTCCTGAATAATATGTAACTTGTCCGGTGTAATATGTAACTAGTCCTGTGTAATGTGTAACTAGTCCCGTGTAGTGTGTAACTAGTCCCGTGTAATGTGTAACTAGTCCTGTATATGTATCTAGTCCCGTGTCATATGTAACTAGCCCTGTGTAATGTGTAACTATTCCTGTATAATGTGTAACTAGTCCCGTGTAATAGGTAACTAGTCCCGTGTAATATGTAACCCAGTCCCGTGTAATATATAACTAGTCCCGTGTAGTGTGTAACTTGTCCCATGTAATGTGTTACTAGTCCCGTGTAATATGTAACCCAGTCCCGTGTAATATATAACTAGTCCCGTGTAATATGTAACTAGTCCCGTGTAATATGTAACCCAGTCCCGTGTAATATATAACTAGTCCCGTGTAGTGTGTAACTAGTCCCGTGTAATGTGTAACTAGTCCTGTATATGTATCTAGTCCCGTGTCATTTGTAACTAGCCCTGTGTAATGTGTAACTAGTCCTGTATAATGTGTAACTAGTCCCGTGTAATATGTAACTAGTCCCGTGTAATATGTAACCCAGTCCCGTGTAATATATAACTAGTCCCGTGTAGTGTGTAACTTGTCCCATGTAATGTGTTACTAGTCCTGTGTAATATGTAACTAGTCCCGTGTAATATGTAACTAGTCCCGTGTAATGGTTATCTGGTCCTGTATAATGTGTTACTTGTCCCGTGTAATATGTAACTGGTCCTTTATTGTGTCAATCAAGCCACGTGTGGTCGACCTTAACCTGTGTAATGCGGACTTATTCTTCCACTTAATTAAGTTGATGATATTTTGTCTCTCATTTCTCTGTCTGACTCGACCTTCAGCTATAAAGTTTCATGATAGAATTCAGTTGAACCCTCTGCACACATGATGCCGACAGTACCACGTGCTGCACTCCTGGTCTTCTTGGAGATTTTACTGCCGCTTTCATTCATCGTGGCACCCACCACTCCTTGAATGCGACTGACCTCGAAATATTTAAACTCTTATAAAAGATAGCCTAATTACAAATATCACGAAAAGGGACATACATAAGAAATACAAAAAAATCACAAGTTGATTCTATAAGCAAACAAAAAGAAATATTTATTACATTTCTTTTTATCTGATTTGATTTCATGCTACGATAGCGACATACGCATGAAGAGACTCTGAAGACGTGAGATTGTAAAACGAATACAGTATTAGAACTATACCAGTGAACCAGTGACACCACATTTATACGCACGGTCCCTATCACACCCTACGTTAAGCAATTTCTGGGTAGATGATTCAATGAGTAACAGAGTAATGTCTTCCTGTATTTATGGGAAGGGTTCCGGATAAATGTGAGTCAGGATTCACAAGGTTTGCATATTGCTGACGAGGACATTTTCGCTAGTATTTTCCATACGTATATTTTTTACATTCCAGGTTTTACATCGCACCGGCAATATTACAGCTGATGTGAAATGACGAAAAGCTGAAAGCTATTAAAAACGCAATCGGTCGTTAGAAATGATTTACTGACAGTAGATCACAAACGCGTTGATAAATCGAATACAAGTAGTGTTCAGGCGCTTACTCCATACCAGTATCCATGGCAATGATGTCACGGTTGCCACCATTGGTTGCCAATATCTGTCTTGGACGCCTGTGATGCTGCAACAAAATCTGATCTGGGTGAGGTCGAGTACACCGTGTCCCATGGGCAGCCAGGCGTCCTGTTTGTGAACTGAAGTGGTACAGTCAGGTCCCTCTTATCCCTTTGTGGTCTTCTAGTGACAGTCTGGTATTGGCAGCGGTCAGTAGCTCGACGACGGTCAGGAACCGATTCCGTGGTGTTTGTACTGATTCGTAGCGTTCCCTAATGTCCCAGTCGTGTAGCGGTTGCTGGACAAAGGGGCGTAACTGCAAATAGTAGCAACAAGATAAATAGCCAAAATCAGTGCCAGTGCTTTATAGGGATGTGGCGGGGTCAATAGTTTGTTCGAGGACGAAATCAGCAATGCGTACTGTAAATACCCATAGAAACAGATATACACACTTCAAGCCAATGCATTCAGCTACACAATGAGAAATGGATGAAACAAAAACAGGACTAGTTCGACACTCAAAATAGTAGCCTTATAGTATCTGATGAGATCAACATACTATTTGACAAGGAAATACAAATACCTTCCATGTTGTTGGTTGGTTTATTGTTCAACGCCGCACTCAGCAATATTCTAGCTATATGACGGCGGTCTGTAAATAATCGAATCTGGACCAGACAATCCAGTGATTAATATCATGAGCATTGATCCACGCAATTGGGGTCGATGACATGCATCAACAAAGTCAGCGAGCCTGACCACCCGATCCCGTTAGTCGCCTCATACGACAAGCATAGTCACCTTTTACGGCAAGCATGAGTTGCTGAAGGCCTATTCTACCCCGGCATCTTCACGGGTCACCTTCCATGTATAAGTCTGTCTATGCATATTTAACAGGACATCTATTGCTAGTGCCATATGCATACAGTGATGTTTTTAATACTGGTCTTGTGAAAAACCGAAAGCAATGTCATTCAACATTCTCAGCGCGACGATCTGAGGAATCCTCCATATCCTATCCCCTTAACATTTCAATATCAATGTATCACTATTACCTTCGGCTGTTAGATATGAAGAAGGACAGATTACTCACTGCCGCTTTCAATAAAGACAAAACACTGAACTCATGGACCTCTTCAATAAATACTCTACTCAACTGCCTTTTCCCTGATCTGGCTCACAATAACATCTCTTCTGGAAAATTTAAGAAAACTGTACATGAAAAGTTCACATCCATATACCTTATTGCAACTGACCAAGCCCCATCCACTAAACCACATAAGCTCAGACACCTCGGGAAAATAGGAGACAAATTCGGAATTAAACCATATCTAAAAGTAACCACCGCATTAGAACATCGCAGAGCAGTTACAAGGCTAAGACTCAGTGCTCACGACCTTCAAATTGAGAGAGGAAGATACTTCAACACTCCAACAGAAGAAAGATTATGTACCTTCTGTGATTTTGATGAAACAAAAGATGGGGAACATTTCCTGTTGCGATGCCCTCTCTACAAAGATCTGAGAGGGGAACTAAATCCATCACCCGGCTTTGCTATGCACCCACTATCGCTAAAAAATACTGTTAAATCCACCAGAGCCCTTTGCAAAAAATATCTCTAATTTCATTCACAAAATGTTCAGGCAAAGAAGATCTGCATCTCCTCCCTAACAATATAATCATAGCAATATTTGTATTCTGTTTTGTATGTCGATGTTTTAATTAGTCATGTTCATGTTTTGTACCCTGCCACCTGTGGGTGTTTATGTACAATAAATATTCTTCTTCTTCACCTGGTAACAGAAACACATTTTTATAGCCGTCCAAAATTGGACAGGTGATGAACATATGTGACAAACATATCGCCTCTAAGACAAGGTGCAGTCCAATTTTTGACGGCTTAATAAAATGTGTTTCTGTTACCATGGTGATTGCTAAATTAGTCGTGACAGGCGTACGACACAACACTTCATTCCAGACGCAGGGGAGTTCAGGAGAGTTACCATCCTTGACGATTAGTGAGTGAGTGAGTGAGTGAATATGGCTTTTCGCCGCTTTTAGCAATATTCAAGCGAGATCAGGGCCGGGGACACCAGAAATGGGCTTCACACATTGTACCCATGTGGGGAATCAAACCGGGTCTTCAGCATAACGAGCGAACGATCTAACCACCAGGCTACCCCTACGCCCCCTTAACAGCTGCATGCTACCGGCTGATCTTACATGGCTTAATAACGTTGGTCCTTTTAAACACGAGCACCGTGATGATGACACAGAAGAGGTGCCAGCCTTTTCTTTAATCACAGATCGCGCATTTCCGTAATCTGCCAGAAGAATCGTCCTCATATCGATCAATGTTATGCTAAAAAATACGAGGAACCAAACAGAATATGTGTATGACTATGAGTACTTTGGTCAAAGAATACCTGATAAATTTTGTTTGTTTGTTTGTGTGTATAGTTTGTATCTAAATTATACCAAAGTGGCATTCACAACTGTTTCTAAATACTGAAACAAAAATGGTTGAAAATTGAAAATAACCACGTAAACTAACAAAGGAGATGTGGTTCAACAAGTGGTTTATTTTGTTTTCGATATGTCTGTTTGAACCAAGACGGAACCAAGTTGATAACATGACCCCGGGAGGGGCAAAAGTCGTCATTCGGCATTTCCAGGAATGACAGGAGTGATCATGAATGCAGCCGTTCCTACAGTCACGGTCGTGATCCTCAGTTTAAACATGGTGTTGAAAGTTGTTCGCGAGTGCTTGTCAAGGTGTTATGAACAAAAGCCCCGAAAGAAAGCAGTTTTTTCTATGACGTTGCTGTCTTTGATTGGCTGTGATATCAGTTATTTGGCTTCAGTTTCGGGAGCCAAGGAACATTCTCTACAAACTCTCCACGACTGGTCTGGTTCATAGAAGGTGAAACACGTCATTCTTAAATTTTGTCCACGCTGAAACATACCACGTGTTTATATCATATAGCGGAACGATTTAACGCTTCGCGGGTTAAACGGCAGCTGACACAGAACTGGCAATACAGTGGTTCGTTTCTCTGGAAAGGGCCATTTACAGGATTTGTTCCTTTAACATTGATTGTGATAGATATACTTGACAAGGTCCAACGAGAGCGTATTAGCGATGACTCAGAAAGTACAGGAGAGGATGGAGATCAATAACGGATGTCTAAAGGTGGCGATCATGGGGAGCTCAGCCGTCGGGAAGACCGCCATCTTGAATCGCTACTTCCACCACATGTTCTCAGACGTCTACGAGCCCTCGGGAGGGTACATGTACATCTTTGAACACGAATGGGACGGGGATGAGCTGCAGATGCATGTGACCGATGTCCCCGGGGGAGCAGAGTTTGACGAACCCCGACAGAAGACCATTGAAGAATGTGACGCTTTTATGTTAGTATACAGCGTGGACGACGCGGCGTCTTTTCAGGAAGTTGCGAGACTCCGCGAGATGATATTTGACGAGAAGCAAGCCGGTGTTCCGGTGGTTGTTGTGGAGACCAAGGTGGATCTACCTCGGTCCTCGTGGTTTAAAGGAGCCAACGCTATACCCAATGAGATGGAAAACGGTTGGTCCATACCGCATTTGATGGTTTCAGCCAAGGAGGGTTCCGATATGTCTGACATATTCCAGTGTCTGGTTGATGAAGCACAGCGGGGATTAAGGAGGCCGAGCAGGGGCATGCGGTATGTGTCCTCCTTCAACGCCCTCCAATACATTCTGGGTTCGATCCCCGACCAAGTAAAGAAGGACATAAATTAATTCTTCATTCTTTGGAATCATCCGTTTTGGGTGGTGAGTATCTGATCATGAAGAAGCTATGCTTGTAATGAAATGTAACAGAATGCTACAAAATGTTTTATGAAGGGTCAGTGATAGATGACCTTTCTGTGTTCTATGGAATTTGGAGATTATGCATAGAAAGAGAAAGAAACTGTCGACATTTTTCAGTCTGTGTGATGAAAAAGTTATCCTTATTTAAGAAAATGTTCCCTCTTATCACACTTTGTCAATATGTTTTTGACTTATACAGAAAGTTTTTACTAAAATGTAAAAGATGTGTCCTGCAGAACCTGTACCTTTTTCTCTTCTCCATGGCGACCCTTGTAAAGCAGGTAATTCAAATAATTTTGTCTTTGTTGGATAAACCTTTTTGATTGTTGCTTGCTGGTTTGGCTGTCGTCTTAAATTGTGCTCCGATTGAAACAGTAGACATACTGGTTATCATGATATTGATGAATTCACATTTTATTATCGAAGTTGGTGGACATGTTTATTCCTTGATGCCACACTTGTATGCATGGATCTATGTTCATTTCAAGATGCTTCCTTCATATTAAACTCTATTCCTTATATAATTGTGTTTTTTTTAATATTTTTGGCCTTGTTTATGGGCACTTTAAGCTTACTATCATCGAATTCTCTAAGTTCATTTAGTCTATGAAATCTTTTATTACAGGAGAAATATTAATGTATACATAAATACAATATAATGTACGTATCGTGTAGGTACTAGATTGACCTATTGTTATCATCGAGACAAATAGCATGTTTATGTCATCGAGTGTGACCTGACAAAGTTGAAAATGTCAACTTTGCCAAGTCAGGGTATCACTTTTTACTCTCATCTCCAAATGAGACGCGGATTTGTCTCGCCTCGACGTCTTCAAACTCTAACACGGCCTTCGGTCTGATCAATGCTTAAACGACTTTCATCTGTGAAGACAACCTTTCTCGGATGGTCAAGCGCGTTGACATTGATGATGCATGTCATCATGTCCATATTGCGTAGATCGATGCTCATGATGGTCCAGACTCGATTATTTACAGACAGTGGGAATATTGCTGAGTGCGGCGTTAAACTATAAACAATAAACAAACAAACAAACAAACATGCGGACAGTTGTGGTTGCCCGCAGGAATCTATGGAGTAGATGTGACGTCTCCATGTACCAATATTGTCTATCTGATGCCACCCTCACACGATCATCTGCAATGTTGGTCAACTGATGACGTTCCTGAAGCCTGTAAAGTGCGGAATGATCGTGGAGGCTCCATTCAGCTTCAGTCAGACCTACTGCCATCATCCTGAGATAGGTCGTGGTGTTTTTTGTGTTAAGACCAGATCACAAGGTGTTCTGTTGAAAAAGAGAGTTCCACGTTTTTTGCATTTTCAAACTAGTTCGTGAAAATATTGCAAGTTGCGCTTTGGTGATTGTTATTATGGTACGTAAAATGGAATTTGGTCTTATAGTGAGTGAGTGAGTTAGTGAGTTAGGTTTAATGCCACTTTGAACTGTATTCCAGTTATATCATGACGTGTCAGCTTATTGTGGGAGGAAAGCCCGAAGTCATGCATATCTCAGACGTTTACCACTCCGGTGAAATACACGAGCACGGGTATGGTGCTGACAAACCTAGAAACATAATCAGGGCGAACCAAGATTCGAACCAGGATTCGAAACCCAAAATCATAGCTTTCTGGCGTATCATAAGGCAACTCTTAAGTCGGAGAAATGAAAGTTTATACTCTGATGTTACTGGTCATGTTCTCAAATGAATATTTTACAGAGTTATGGCCCTTGTTTTATGCTTTACAACTAAGTGGATACTGCGTTAAATGTTTTCTCAGAAGCTACTGATGTTACATAAATGAAAGTGTGCATGCTTATCAAAGCGATACTTGTCAAGACAAATTGTCCAGAACCTTTGAAGATAGATATGTATCTATATCTATGGTCACCACTTTTAGTGACAATTGCGCATAGATCACGTTTTCCTTCAGTTTGTCGTGTGGGATAGTGGTGTACAAAATTGAAAAAACCCCAAAACGTTTCAACACAACTGAACTTGGCTATTTTTGAAAGAGTAAAATATTCAAGCAAATCCTATTTTTAAAGCCCCATGGTATTAATTTCACTTGTCTCAAATATGTTCTATGAATATAAAGAATGTCTGTACTGGATTGTAGTAAGAATTTTGGTATGGAGTCAACACGGTATTAATTTCACTTGTTCAAACAATTAATGTAGTGATGCTCATATATTGTTAAATAAGTTCAATATAAGCAGTAACTGTAATCAGAGTACACTTTGTCAATCATAACTGTCACCTATTTTCGATATATCACGATCTATCTGAAATTGTCCATTTAGACGAGGACAAAATAGAATACCCAATAAACGTTCAGTCTTTGAAATGCTTCTGGGTTAGGCTGTGGACTGGCAGCACATCTCTCTCATGGTGATGAGGGTCGGAATTCATTGACACTGAGGTAAATCTAAACATTCTTTTTAGTCGCCAGCGATAGCTGCACACGTGTATAATAATCGTATGTGTCTTTTAAACGTTTCATTTAATTTATCATGTGGGAAAAAATGCTGGCCTTTTTTTAATTAACTGGTTCTGGTTCCAATCTGGTCCAGATAAACTGACCCGGGAAGATCCGGGGTAGAATAGGTCTTTGGCAACCCATGGTCGTTGTAAGAGGCGACTAACGGGATCGGGTGGTCAGGCTCGCTGACTTGATTGATGCATGTCATCGTATCCAAATTGCGTAGATCGATACTCATGATGTCAATCACTGGATTGTCTGGTCCAAACGCGATTCTTTATAGACCGCCGTCGTATAGCTGGAATATTGTTGAGTGCTGCGTGAAACAACAAACAAACAAACACAAGGCAAACCAGTAGAGTTGTATTCCTTTCCGTTTTTTGTGTGGTGTGGATGATCACATGAAGTCCAGGGGTCGTGTCCAAGATTATTGCACATATATAGCGACGTGCATGCACGCGTGTGTGTGTGTGGCTGCTTGTACTAGTCCGGACTGATGCCGATTTATAGTGCTAGCCCACTGAGATACCATGCCGCAGTTTAACATGAATACCCCACACAGACACAGTATACTGACTCCGAGCCGACCAGTCCTTATTTTAGCCCCATAATGCCGAGCGCCAGACAGGGTAACAACAAGTACCATCTTTTAACGTCTTTTGTTATGACGCGGCCTGGGATCGAACCCCGGACCTTCCGCTTTCCGGGCGGACGCTCTTCCACTAGACCACGGAGGCGGGCTTGGACTGTGGGAGAAGTGTGTACTGTTCGAGATCAGGTGTGATGCGACCCAACTGTGTTTGAACTCGGTGCACTGATAATGAGCGACATGCAATGGGCTTTTCCACAACAAAGATGACTTGTTTGACCTCTATATAACACTGAGACGTAAATCATGAGAGAATTAATCAGATGTAATTCTTATTCTGAATATAGATTATCTCCCTTTTATGATTCAGTTCACCTACAATATAAAACTTGTATGGGACTCGGCATCTTCCAGAGGCAAAATTAGTTAACTGACTATAAAAGTCCAGTTTTCACCCTTGTCGAACTACGCTCGTATTATGGAGTTACATTATGGCTGGACTAACGAGTTTATGCATAGTCCCAATCAAAATCGAGCAACGAAATCGTAAACTGTCGTGTGGATTTTGGTCGATGGCAGGAGTTGCAAAGCATGTGCACCGCCAACTCGTTGTCAGCAGATATTTTCCATATCGTTTCATGTTTTTATCAAGGTGCTAACGTGATTTGATTCAATTCGCGATGAAAGACCCGTTTTATCACAATATGGATCTTGATTATCGATCAGATCGTACTGACGGGGCGCCGCCATTTTGTTTGAAGCAAATGTAAGTGAGGTGGAATCTGATTGGTCCATAGGAGAGGTTTGGAAGGGACACAACTGGTAATAACCACTGGTGGCGCTACGATCGAGCCCAGTTATTCCAGCCTAGTTCGGCAAGGGTGGAAACTGGACTTTTAAAGTCAGTTAACTCTCTTGCCTCGGGATGATGGGGATTTGGTAGTTATATCAGGAAACGGGGCTGTTGTGCAAAGAGATTAAACAACGTCGTCACTATCATTCATTTCTTCCGTATATCTATTTTTGTATGATATTTGTGTGACCAATAAAATTTCACCCTTGTGTCTTTTGAGTTTGAGTTCTATACATAGGCATACGCCTTTACAGACTCAGGCCCAGTGGTGGTTTGTATACAAGCAGGAAAAAGTAACTGTGCTTCATATAAAGTGGTGTACATATTATGTCACTGAAAATAACAACATAATATTTGGTCATTCGTCTGATCAATGTTTTATCATAAAAAAATCACTGACAAAACCTACATTGGTAACAGGAGACAGAGTGACACGCCCTTAAAGAGGGGTGGTGAAACAACTCAATTAACACTGTCAATACCACTATTTGCGTTGATACAGGCGAGGCAGCGACGGCGCATTGAAAACACCAGATGAGGGAAAACAGCCTGGGGGATGTTGTTCCAAATGTCTAACTTCTAGGGAGGCATCTCTAAATATTGCAATATAGTAACTGGCAAAGAGATTACATGCAAACAAGCATTTCCTTCTAACTGTCAGATACATCTTACCTGTACCCAAACAGGTAAAAGAGGAAGACTGAAAATCAACCTCTTTGTGTTAGATTTTATCAGATTTGGTGAATGTGTGTTACGTCATCATTTCATGTGTACATGTGTATGACGTCCTGGTTGACGATACAGTTCAACCTTTATCTTACACGTTTCTGCATTTATTCTGACAAGTGTTGACTGCTCGCTGCTTAGAAAATCTTCCATCTTTCATCTTGCTGCGTTCATTAGAAGATTCGAGGTGCGTGCAGATATGAGCAAATGTGATGGAAACAAGGTAGACACAATTTTATGGATAACAACTTCTTTAATACTGTAAAAAGTATTAAAGAAGTTGTTATCCATAAAATTGTGTCTGCTTGACAACGGTATAAGGATCTATACCGAAACGTCGCTTTTTAAGTGTTAAAGAAGTTGCTATCCATAAAATTGTGTCTACCTTGTCACCCGTCAACTTCTAAGTAATGCCTATCAAACAAATGAGATGGAACAGTGTCGGCTCAAAGCAGAAAGTGAAGGCTTTGGGAAGTTCATTTGCTGAATTCAGTTTATGTTGAATTTTCAAGATAGTGTCTTGAATTTTCAACTTAATAACTTGAAATGGGCTTCCGTATATTGCAAACAACAGTGTCATCTCTGAATATATACTATGCCAAAAAGGTAGGGGTTACTTTGTTTTGGGGTGAAATTACAGGACATTACACCAATGTCTGGCAATGAAAGTAGTGATGTATGTGGCAAGAACATTTCCGAAGAAATTAAGCTCCCAAACACAACATTGTGACCGTA